AAGAAAAAGAAAAAAAAAAGAAAAAGGAAAAAGAAAAAAACGACCAGTGCAGGCGGAGGGTGGAGACGCTGCAGCTGCGATTCCTGGGTCAGTGCGAGCTCTCGGCGCCACTGCGCCCACTGTCTCTTACTAAGTGTTACTGCTAACTGAAAAAGCCGAGAAGAACTTGCAGTTCACGCAGGAGAGGGGAGGGAGCCTTCTGCTGCAGCCGCCTTCTGCGGCTCGGGTGCCGATGGCTGTCCGGAGAAGGCGGGGAGGCAGGGTCGGGACGAAAGCGTCCGCCATCGTGAGAAGGTGCTTTGCTTTCGTTAAGTAACGCCTTTTGCTCGTTTTGCTCCTACCCTTCCCCCGGCCTCTGCTCCACTCGGGGCGGTCAGGCACTGCTTAAGGCACTGCTGCCCTCAAGAGAAGGCCCCAGAGAATAAAATAATAGAGAAAACAAAAAAGATGGAGAGAGCGAGCCCGCCCTCCCGCCCGAGGGCCCGGCACTCCCTGCCGTCGGAGAGCAGGGCAGGTCGCTCCACTCCGCCCCGTCGGGGCGAGGCCGAGGGTGACTGTGACATCGGCCGGGCGGCACCAGCCGTGAGGAGAAAACAAGCCTTAGACTCGCAGGTGGAGGAACCTCAGGGCCGGGGCCGGGGCGCGCTGCCCGAGGCTGCCGGGGGCGCCGGGCGCTCCCATGGGAAAGGCACTCCCGCCGGGCCGGGATCGCCGCCAGTCCCGGGCAGCGCTGGGCCGGGCGCGGCGGGCCGGGACATGGCGCGGCGGGCGGGAGGCTCCGTGGCCGATGAACTGGCCAACGCCGCCGCCCGCGGGGACCTGCAGCGGCTCAGGGAGCTGCTGGACGGCGCGGCGGACCCCAACGCCGTCAACTCCTACGGCAGGACCCCCATCCAGGTAGGGAGGTGGGGTGCGGGCGGCGGGGTGGGGGCAGCGGCCCCTCGGTGCCCTGCCCGAGGGGCGGCGAAGGCAGCCCCGGGGCAGCCTCTCGGGGGGGCCGCCCCACGACGGCCGCGCTCGGCTGCTGTCGAGGCGGCGCTGCGGTTCTTCTCGCCTTTCTGGGAAGGAGAAAGTCTGTGACGGCCGCATCAGAGAGGTTTTAGTCTTAGCAACCCTTGACTTTATTTGAACCAACTGAGATAGGATGACTCAAAACCGAGAACTTTAATGCTCATATAGCAATAAACGTGCAGCAAAATGTAACAGCTCCCGTTTGCAGAAATAATCACCTTTTCGTCATAGCTCGTCTTCTGCTTTATATGTCTGTCAGTATTTTTCCCTCATCTTTCCCATGGAATAAAAAAAAAGTATATTCATTAACTCTCACGAACAGAAACGGTTGTGATAGCCTTGCCCGGCAGGCGCTGCAGGTAGACAGTGAGCAGTCTCTGTGGGGCTCAGTATGCCTGTTTTACAGTCGCGTGAACGGGTAGGTAAACGTAGTGCCCGAAGGTGTAGTAGATGTTAAATTTATAAAAGCTGAGGTTATTTCTGAGGTAGTTCTAGACAGCTTTTTCTTAAATTTTCAAAATAAAACGAAACTGAAATAATCTGAGAAGCTATATTTAAGTTTTACTGGCAGTGCTTGCGAAACTCTCTCCCACAAAATGTCGGTGCAGCCTTTCATTCGAAACAGGTATCTGTTGCCGTCCTCCACTGTATTTTTTTAATTATTTTTTTTCACTTTTGAGCGGCAGGGATTTAGATCCTGTGCTGAACGCACTGCCAGGTGCGCTGGGGGAAACGCAGCTTAGAAAACGACGAGCCCAAAGGGAGGGGCTCCCCGGAACTTTGGTACTGCACTGGACAAGGGGGTCAGGCGAAAGGTGGGGTTTGAGATTCTCCCGAGGGTGAGAGAAGCGCTGGCGCGGCGCCGCAGATAAGGAGGGTTCTCTGCATATACGTCTGCCCTTGGCAAGGACCGTCCGGAGAAGTGTCACGGACGGGAGTGGGACGACGGCCGTCTCCGCTACGGTTCCAACGGTGGCCCTTGCAAAGCGACCCGGGACTCGCTCTGTTCTTGTGAGGGTGCGCCGCGAGAAGGGCGACCCTCCTCCCCCACTCCGTCTGCCCCGAGCCTATGGCCCCCCTGCCGCCTCCTGTCGCGGAATAGCCCTGGTGTGCACCCGCACACCCTGACTCCGACAGAGGTCCCGCACCCCTCTGCCCCACCTGTCCCGTGGCATGGATAAGCAGGGTTTTCTCCCTGCGATGCAACCCTCCCGACGGATCCATGCTCTCCACCGTTCGTGGCGCCTCTGGAGCCGATCTCTAAGCCTCATCCGCGGATTTTCTTCTTTCCACGGAGGATCATCGTTCCTTCAGGGCCGAGCGGGAAAGCCCGGGGGCTGCTAGCAGGCGCTGACACTGTCTCTCCCCGCAGGTGATGATGCTGGGCAGCCCGCGGGTGGCCGAGCTGCTGCTGCAGCGCGGAGCAGACCCCAACCGCCCCGACCCGAGCACCGGCTGCCTCCCGGCTCACGACGCGGCCCGCGCCGGCTTTCTGGAGACGCTGGCGGCGCTGCACCGGGCCGGGGCTCGCCTCGACCAGCCCGACGGCCGCGGCCGCCTCCCGCTCGACGTGGCGGCGGGGGGCCCGCACGGAGCTGTGGGCCGCTACCTGCGCCACCCGCCGCCCCGCGTCTGACCTCTCCCGGGGCAATTCCCGTCCCAAACTTACGCTCGCACCTGCCTCGGGAGACACCAAGTCGAGCAGCACTCATACCACGCTCTGAATAACCCCCGAAGCGCTGGGATGCACGAAGGACAATACTCTCTGCTCGTGGCTGTGTGTTTTCTTGCCCTGGACATTCTACGGCCCTCCATAGGCCCCTGTTTTCTCGCAGGAGGCCAAATATTATGAAGAGAAATATAAAATGTGAAGTATGAAGTAAGAAAATACTAAATGTGAAAATATTAAATAGTAAATATGAAATAGCCAATATGAAATATTAAATATTAAATGGGCAATACTATATGTGAAAATATTAAATAGGAAATATTAAATATGAAGGAAAACCCACACACAGAACTGGTACTATAAATTGTTCATGTTTTGACGGCACCACGTCCAGACTTTCTGTTTACCCTCATCCCCGGGGCTCCGCACTCATACTTGCCAGCCCTCCGTCTGAAGAGGACGGGAGGGGCTCCGAGCTCTCCCTGTCCAATTTCGGTTACACGGAACTGAAGGGGCGCTGCCTCTCTCTCTAGCAAAACCGGCCGGGACAGCCGGGAATCGGCGCTTCCTGGTGCCATTGCGGCTTTGGCAAACACCTTCGTAGAACGACGTGGGATGCTGTGCATGTTTGTACACGCATCTTCGGTGCATCCGTGGCTCTTGTTGTGAAAGTTGCAGACGTGGAACCTAAAAGGAGAAAATGAACTCAGATTTGTGTCTCTGCAAGCCCTCTACAGTCCCCACTTGAAGTACTCGTTTTAACGACTTGCAAGCGACCTCCCCTGAGTTATAGAACCTTGAAAAAAATCATGTTAGTTGCAAAACCAAGGTGACCAGGAACGAAAAATTAGAAATCATACACCCGAACTCAATTCCAGGGTTTACCAAGCTGCTTGCAGGTGACACGTTTGGTAAAGAAAAAACCAAGCCGTTGTAACAGCTGTGCTGCTGGGTTAGAAACGGGAGTAGACAAATTATCTGAGAGTCTATCCGTTTCCCTGACTGCCCCAGCACGGGGAATTTGGGTATGAGCACCCCACAGAAAATGTACAATGGCAGCCCACCCTCTACTGAGGGGAAGCCAAAGGCTGGGGAAACCCTCTGCCACCGTGGTGGGTCCCAAACCATCAGGGGCTCTATAGGAGCAGGGTGGTGAGGCAGGCGATGGGCACCGTGCTCCTAGCCTGTGCTGAATGAGTGGGAGACCTTGCCTCCCTCCCGGGACCTCACACCGGGCTGCACCTGCATGTCCTATGACTTAGGGACTGAGAAAAGGAAGCAAGGCAAGGCAGCTGGAGAGCTCAGATGTCATTCCCCAGCGCAAATCCTTAGGCACTTTGGAGATCTACCTACAGAGAATTAAAGGGGAAAAAAGTTTATTTTCGTTTTGCATTCCTACTGATTGTCCAACTCTTAGATAGGTTCATAAACAATAAAAAATACATATATACTTTTTAAAAACCGTGTTGGAATATGTTATTTATTGTAATGTAAATTCATACAATACATGCTTCATAATTACGTCATATAAGTTGGTATGCTATAAAATATTTAGTTATGCCATTTATGTACAAAATGCATCTATGCAATACCTATATAAAATATACGTGATATGCACATATATTAAGAATGTTATGATCAGGTATCAGCCTTATGTATTAGCTTATCAACTATTTTATATGTAATATGTTTATGTCTATGCATATAAAATATGTACGAAAAAATTACACTATATTTGAAATATATATATAATACTATTTATAATAAATTATAAAAACTTGTTTATTATAGGAATGCCTAGAACATATATTTTATACATATCTTTAAATAGAAAAAATATAACATTACAGTATGCAATTATAATACCATATTAAATTATTCTGTATTCTATCTTAGAGCATGGCATAGCTGTAAACAAACCAAGCACAACACTGGGGATGCAGCAGTTAGGTGCCTGTATCCCGTGCCTGTGGGAACCAGAGAGGAGCTGGGGCCAGATGTAGAGACAGGACAAGGCTAGAACCTGACCATCCTCTTTATAGAACAATAAACTGCACTTCCAACTTCAATTAGACCAGTATTTCTGTTTTAAATGGTCTTTTTCTCCAATAACCAGATTAATTTAATTTTTTTAGTATTTCCATTAGGGATTATGAAATTACAGCAGCAACAACTAAATGGTAATATTATATTATTGTTGTTACTAATATTGTTCTTTAAGTTGGCAGAAAAATAACAGAATTCGCTAGGCTGACTGCACCAAACGAGCAGAATATGCCCTCAAAAGCCAACAGGGTTAAATACCTAAATGCTATAAATCTGCTTCATGCCATAGGTTCGAAGGCTCTGCCCGGGAGAGGCCCACGGTGAGGGATACTCACTCCTTGAAAGGATAGAGGTCCCCGGCATGATCCGACTCGGCTGCGGGAGCTTCCACAGGCACCTTTTCTTCTGGCAGCAGCGTCGGCACCAGGGCTTTTCCTCTCGGAAAAGGAGAATAGTAGCTGTTAACAGCAAATAGCAGCAGCAATACACATACCGAGAAAACCCTCAAAGCACTACGTTTAACGTGGCAGACTAGTGCGTTTTTTATTTTTAATATCGCCGCTGTAATCGAATACGTGTGGGCGCACACTCCCCACCCGCTGCAGCAGGGTTTGTGCCCTGTGCACGACGAGATGCTCCCCGGCCCCTGATCGGCCATGCATTCAGCGTTGGTGGGTATTTGGTTTCTATTGCCAAAACCGTAGATTCATCCTCTCCCCGGCGCTCCGGCACCTGCATCACGCAGTCAGGCAGGCAATTTATTTCTCTCAATTTTGCCTTGCCTGTAGGGGAATAGCAGCCATGGCAGAGAGAAGTGAAGGACGGGGTGGGGGCGGGGTGGGGAGAAGAAAGAAAAGAATAAAAGTGTCTGGCGAAGAGGTGCTTTCATTTCGAAATGGTTGATTTCACTCACCCACTTCCCAGGCTTGAAATCGGACTCGGTCCAGAAGAAATCGTTGCCGGGTTTTCTTTATTAGCAGTGTTGTTAGCGTTAATCCATGCAGAGGCAGAAGAAGGAAACTTCTGTTGACATCGGAGTTATTGCTGTTTGTCCGGCCGAGAGAAGGAGGTGTTTGTTGGGGGGGGAGGGGGTGTTGCACACGCCTATGTTCACCATCCCTTCCAGGGACTGCCGCTCTGCCTCCCCTCTTGGCGCCTTCCCTGCGGCTCCCCACAGTCCCAGAGCCGCCCCGAACCTCCGCCCAGCCGCCTCTAGCCGTGTCCAGCCGAACCGGGCCCGGCCGCCACTGAGAAGGTCGAAGACCACCCAACACGAATGACGCTCTCCCTGCCCACCACCGTTCTCCACGCCTGGCACTGAGGTACCCTGCACCCGGGAGGGGGGATGTTCAGGCAAATGGGCTCCCAGGGTGGGGGGCGGGCCAGGCGGGTAGCGATAACTCCCAGAGAGCCTCTGCCGGGCGGCGAAGTTGGCTCGGCACCGGCTGTCGAGGGGCTCGGCAGCCCTCCGGTGTTTCCTGGGAGCTGGCCTGGGAAGGGAGCGCCGGGAGGTTGATCGGGGCTTCTGGGCGAACCCCCTGCTGCTCCCCCGCCCCGCTCCAGAACTTCGCCCGTCAAAAGGAAAGCAAGGCGGTCCGACCCCGCGGAGCGCGGCCGGGGAGAAAGCCCAGGGGCTGGCGGGGCAATCGTTCATTACCCGTTTCGTTGACCGGCGGGGGGAAAGCGAGATTTTATTTTTTTTTTCCAGTTATTTTTTCTTCCCCTCGCTCCGCTACGCAACGGTCCCGCGTCGCGTTCAAATGGCCATGTGACAAGGAAATAGCTGCTCGCCCGGGCCAATACTGGCCCGCGCATTTAAAGCGGCAGGGATCCGCTAGCCGGCCCCCGGGGGCCCGGCTCGGCGCTCCGAGCCGCCGCTGGCCCCCTTCCCGTCGGGCTTTTTCCGAGGCGAGAGGGATCCGAAAGCAATGAAACAGCAAGAAAAAAACCCCAAACAAATAACACCCGTCCCCAAACAGAGAGGGAGGCCGTTTGTTTGGAGGGGCAGACCGGAGGGAGGGCAAGGACATGTCGTCAAGGCTTTATTTGAAAGCAGGCGAGCGCCCTGCGATTGGCCGGTCTCCACGCCCGTTTGGTGGCGGTGCTCCCCGGGGCCAGGCAGTGGGAGGGGAGACGAGGCAGCGGTCTCCCCCGTCCCCATCCCCCGCCGCCACTCTTCCTTCGCCCGCTTTCGAGGCGGGAGCCATCATCATGGGAGGAGTTTAAGAGCGGGGTGTAGGGGAGGGGTGGGAAGGGGAGGGAGGTAAAGCGAAATGGGGACTCGAAATTAGGCAAACGGAAGAGACAAAAAAAGGAAAAAGATCGAAAGAAAAAAAAAAAAAAAAAAAAAAGAAATAAAGTCCTCTCCAATGAATGGAGGGTGAGAGGGCCGATTCACCGGTGGGGCCCCGCCGGGGAGGTATTTGTTATGTGAGGCGCAGGCGGCTTCCCCACATCCATGACTCCCCGGATAAGGTGCACCATCCACTTTCGGCGCGCTCGCAGCCGGCCCCGGGCCCGGGCTCTGGGCCGGTTTATCCTCCGCCGCATTTTCGGAGCGCTGGGGCGGCGTTGGCCGCCACGCCTCGCCCTGTTGCTGGTCCTGCGGCGGAGGCGCCGCGGGAGCCCCCGGCCCAGGTAGGACCCGGGAGCGGGGCTGTTCGGGGGGCGGCGGGTGGTCCCCGGTGGGCGCGGGCTGCCCGACGGGGCGACAGGAGCAGGAGGCGGCAGCCCGGCGCCGGTGGCAGTGCCGCTGAGCCCCCTCCGTGCCATATGCTCAGATTCCACGGTGATCACGTTAGATTTGTACAGGCGGGGGTTTTCTGTCCGTGTATTATTATTTTTAACTTTTTCCTTCCCCCTCCCCCCCCAAACGCAGTTGAAAATGTCAGGTTCTTGAACAGTTATTGTAACTTATTTCTGCCTTTTCCCTCACTTCCTGAGAAGTTTTCTCTATGGCTAATTAAGAAAATATAAACCCACCATCCCTTATCAACTTTTGTAGACAGTTCCTTGCAAATAAGGAACATAACTACTGCTCTGAAGAGAGAAAATGGCCACTGTTTTCCGAGCGTGCATTACTTTCCACTCTTATAAATGACAGTGAAATACAGTGGCCTACTTTGCCTTCCCTTGCTGTTACAAAAATATGGGAAATAAGGGTCAGAGCGGCCAAGCAGCATCAGAAAGAGTAACTAAAGTACTCACATATTGAGACCTTGAGAGACATCCGAGGCTCAGGCACTTTTAGAGACTTTTTCCCTATTGTAGAATGCAAAATCGGATTGTTGTGGACCTACAGGGTGTACTTTAAGCGTTAGTCATCACACATAATTAGACATACAATGAAACTAAAGTAAATATTAATTTTGATGTGTATTTGGGGATTGTTCTGCAAAGTCATCACTGAGGCTTGTTAGAGAGCCCACAACCTCCTCTAACCCAGAGCACAGACTAGAGAAGAACAAAGGTAGAAGAGAAGAATAATAGAAATATTTTCTGCAAAATATCTACAAAAATAGAGATAACTTATTTTATATATATGTAAATAGATGTATAAAAAATTAAACCTTTCAAACTAGGGGACTCAGGGTGTGGAGATAAAATAATTAAGTTTCCCAGCTTCAGTTTCTGGTTAGATCTCTCCCAGTGCTTTTCAAATAGCAAGTGTGGGTACATATACAGACACATAAACAGACACACACACATACAAAATATATATACACGTATTTATATATATATAAATCAGAAACTATATCCAGTTTTTCTTGTTGCTTTCAAAAGCCTCATTTCTTGCTTTTGTAGTAGGCCTCATTTCTTCATCTTACACTAAATGGGTGAAAAAGAAACTATAAACTCTGACTGACATGAAATGCACAAATGTCAAATAAAAACATAAGTATGAAGGTGCTGATTATTTCGAAGTAAATTTGCTGTAGCAAGGACAGAATTCTCTCATGGATCCAGAAGTGTGGCTATTATTTTTTCTCTCTATTTCCATGCTTGCTGTAAATACAGCTACTTTATTTTCCCCTTCCTCCAAGCTTCTAATCAGAGAGATCGAGTTTGTCTAAAATGATACTTAGATCTAGATTACAAATCTTATTTTGAAGGGCCTGGGATGGGGTAAGACAAATGCATGTGCTTAATCTAAAAAAAAAAAAAAAAAAAAAAAAAAGCTACGAAAAATGCAATACTTGGGGATATTTTTACAGCTATTTAGGGCAGCACATAACGAAGTTGTGGCTGCCCCATCTCTGGAAGTGTCCGAGGCTAGACTGGATGGGTCGTTGAAAAATCTGATGTAGAGGAAGGGAAGGGGTGTGAGGGGAGCTGTAGGGGGAAAGTGTGTGTGGGTGGAACTAGATTCTCTCTCCCTCCCAAGCCTAACCATTCCATGAGTATGATATTGACTCTGTGAACTATGTTATTGGACGTTGTTTGAGTTGGGAGGGGGGGTGGTTTTGGCTTTGTTTTTTTGGGGTTATTTTTTGATAATTTTCGATCATTTCCATGTTCGATGGAAACCCTCATAGCACGACTTCTGAAGGACTAAAATTAAAGTGATAGATATTCCTGTTTTTACCCAATGTGTGTAATCAGGATAATTATCTTCACAAATACACTGACATTTTAAGCTGAAGAGTAAATCAATAGTGTTAAACTATTTCTGTGCATTGGTATTACTTCATTTTTAGCATAACTCCAAGTAACTCTTTCCCTTACCTTCCTTTAAGTATAAACCAGATTATTTTCATGCAACCTCTCCATTTTAACACCTACTCCAGCCTCTCCTGAACATTTTTTACCTATTTACAAGCTAGGAAATTGCAATTTATTGTTTTTTACAGTTTGACTCTTTGTAGTATTTAATTAACCACTGAACTTATTACCAAAATGTTTGTTAGATGATAACTCATGTAAATGTTTTTAATTACTTTTTGTTTCTGTTAAAAGCCTTAAACAGTGCATAAGATGGCTGCCTATGTCAACTGAAAACTACCTTTTCCGTCCTGCATGCTATTAGTAAAACATCTCAGAACAATTTGCAAGATTGGTGTACTATAGTATTAAAATGGATCTCTTGTCAGTGAAAAGATCTGTATGGCTGAACAGTGATTCTAAAAATAAATAAGAGCAGAAATGTAGGACAGGGACTCCGCTTAATATGATTTTTTTTTTCTCCCCGTGAAAATATCTTTGCAGTAAGGGTTGTTGGGGAGAGAAGTTAGATTTTTCTCCCTTCCCCCAAAATGCAAGTGAAATACAGTGGTCTTTTTCAAAACTCACTAGCTCAGACTCTGTTATTATTTCCCTAATTTCAGATATGACCGTGTGTTGTTATGTTTTGATTAATTTGAGGTTCTTTGTTGGTACTAGAATTGTGAGAAAATATAAGATTTGCTTTTTGGAGGGGAAAAATCGCATGACTTCAATCATGTAATTTAAAATGTTCTAGTAGTTTGTTAAGTGACTTGAAGAGTCAGTAATGTTAGCACGGGACAGCGTTTTGGGGTTTTTTATGCCGTGCTGCAATTTCGTAGCTTTTAGCATTATCTGGGGGGGTAGATGGGGATACAGACAGGCCTCTGACTCCTCTAATAACGTCTTCACTTGCAAAATACACCTGTGTGTATTTTTTCCTATCCTTATCTATTCATGAAAAACAGGTATTCATATATTTATACACACAGATGCATAAAATCCAGTATCGATACTATTTCACAGAAAGCAAGATTAGCCAGTGAGAACCTCCAATCCTGCCACACTTCAATATTGTTTTGAAATTTTAAGACACCATACAGACATAACCAACGAGGTTTTCTCCCTGGATTTATCTCTACATGGCTATCATTCATGTCGGAGAGGGCAAGAAGGACCAGAGGGGACTTTGCCTGTTGGGTGGGGAATCCTCTTTATTTCTTAGACTTTACAGACTTTTAAAAAATCCACTTTTAAATTTTTTTTGTTGATTTTTTTTTAATTATTATTTGGATTTAATCGCCCGCGTGTCCCAGGGGTCACTCCGCACTGTGCACTGAAGAGAAATCACGGTGTGGGGGAGCCTGCCCCAGTGACTGCCCAGCAAGGGTCTCACCCCACACAAGCCCCCTTGAAATACTGCAGCCTCATCTTGCAATGCCACTTGTCCCAGAAACTTTGTGACGGAGGCTTAGAAGGCCGCCAAAAATGAAGAAATTTCAGTGAACGTCTGACTTATCAATTCAGGGCTAAATTTTTGTTTATTTCTCCTCATCCAAGGATGTCTCTGCCTTTCGGCTACCAGTACATCTAGACATAAAATCGCCGAGTTTCCCCTTCAGCTACGCAGGGCTGTTTGTGTGCCCGAGCGGTGGCGGGGGGGGGGGGGGGGGGGGGGGGGGGGGGGGGGGGGGG